ATTGGTTGTTGTGTCTCTAGACGCGAAAACACCTTCTTCCCTTTTGTATATTTTTCGTGTGTACAAAAGTAGCCTGGCCTTACCCATCCTCTAGATCAGAAGTGAAAAACAGTTAAAGAGTTTATAAATACATTGTAATCCAGCAGCAGTTAAAATATATTAGAAATTATAGTGATTCAAATTATCCCTCATTGTCCCGTTTATTTGATCACCCTAATCCCCCATTTCAGGCCCTAATAATAAATTAAGATAATCACTGAATATAAATAATCCCATAAGAGTCAATTTGAATAGTTTGTAATTTTAAGGATTCTTAGATACGCAGTAGCTCAGGGTTTACCGACAGGCTCCATGTGTTACAAGGGGAAAGGGAAACGATATAAAATCTGGTTTGAGGGGAATAGGGAAGCGATGGACGAAATAAAAGCGGATTTTAAAGGAGCGTGAGAAAGTCTAAGGATCCCTACAAGTGCCATTGGTTACAGAAGTTAATTCAATTTAAATAAAGTCCATAATTACACTGGTTTTAAGTTTAATAGAAATGATCAAAATATTAGTGCGGGTCACAATGATTCAATTATTCGCAGTTCAATGAGTTTAAATAACGCAGAGCAATTAATGCGCGGAACTTGAGAAAAACAATATATTCGCAGAATGCAATGTACACAGTACGATGGCCGAAATGCAAAACGCGAGATTTATAGGCCACGAGGTGGCAGGTAGCGGAAATCAAGAAAGGTGAACGTGACCCCATCAAAATGGGAACGTTTAAATGACCCCTGTCCATGAAGTGGCGCCTCAAGTGTCAGAGGTGTGAGGCCACTGGTCATCTGAGGTAGTTGCGCAGGTCAGTTGTGCGCAGGCCACGCGTGCATGCGAGCGGAGCTAGTATGTGTGCATTCGTGCGTATGAATATTTGGTTCATTACCGAACAACCACACATAAATAAAACACCAAATTTAATATTAGAAAATAATATAAATGTAATTTCATAATACGACAATATATATTATTTCCAAAGGAATGCAGGATGAGGACTCCAGCTCCTTCTTATCGTCAAAAACAAAGACAAATATCAATATAATGGATTGACATTCAGTCCAAATCAAGATTAAACTTCAACGTAAAATCATTGGTAATAATGCGTACACTCAACCCAGTTTACAATCAGTTGGTCTTATAGACGTTAAATAGTTTTTTCCAATAGTATATTGTGCATTTAGGGCGGAAAGTCATGTTTTCCTCTCCGAGGTGCATATGTTATTTTTTAACACGCCTGCAAAGGAAAGTTTGTATTTTGCTGTCTGATGAGCGGGAGGAAAGTGAGTACTTCCCGCCCTCGGGTGGAAAGTACTCACTTTCCTCCCGCTCCCGCACACTTTTCCTTCCGTCTGGGGCAGACTCCCCTTAGGCTGTAGCCGCAGAAATAGCCGGAAGCAGACGGGTCAAGATAGCGACCCGAGAGTTCATCGTAGATTTATTGAGGTGTCCGAGTCACCCCTATAACGAGTCCAACGTCGCAGCCTCTTTCCACATGTAGTCTGTGATAATACTATTTTCCACTCAATGTCAGCCTCGGAAAGCCGGGATTACCGGGATATTCGGGATATTTGAATACTACCCCTATCAACAATTCTCGTTGATCACTGAATCCCGAGGGAACTGACCAATGAGGGGTCAACAACTTTATTCGGTCCACTGAGTTGCGCTAAATCGCCTAGCAACGCCTAACAAGTAGGCCAACGTGTGGAGACACGCCACTCTCGTGTCAGGCGACATAACGCAAGCATTCTATATTATTCATTAAGCCTTTTGTATGTGCCATTAATAATCGATCTTAATCAATATATTGTAACGCCGTGTGGATTCAATCTTGGTTTAATTATATTTGATATACATTTGTCAAAACCTATCGAACTGTACAAGGAGAGTCGGTTTCCGAAGATCAAAGTAAGTAATTTGTCGCTCCTGTCTCTCTTGGTCTTCTCTGTCTCTTTTCTGGGTCTCTAGAGTCGAGCCTCTCCTCAATCACAAGGTAGAGTCACAAATGTAAATTCATTTATTTTCGAAGTTCAACAAGTTGTCAATCTTGGAAAATTGACTGACGCCCAACAGTAAGTTTAAAATAAATGCATTGCCGTGAGCCCCGGCAGCTACTGACCTAAGCCGCATCGAGTGAGATCTTTTGACGAAGTTACAATATTTCACTTAAATAATTAGAGTAGAAAAAATCTTGTCTCAAATCATTTGACCATCGTTAATCACATTGGAACCTTTCCAAGTACAAAATCCTTTTTCGAGGTCTCTGAAAATTCTTGCCACACTTGCTGATTCGGTTCGATCGACCTAGTATATTGTTTTACTAGTGCGTAAAGTTACACTTTTTCACACGCACATGTAACACATACTATTTTTCGTGGTACCTGCCGAGTTCACTGTTCGGAACGGTAGTGGGGGTAATGTGGTTGTTTTAGTGCACGAGTGCGTAGGACGAACGCGCTCGAAATTCACTTTACGCACGCTTGTGAACTTTGCGCACGCCGTGCGGAAAACAATAGCTTTACGCACACTAAACCGTTTCGAAAAGTGCACTTTTGATGCAGGTATCACAAAAAATATACTTCAAGTGACTATAGGTGCACTGCCTGACGTAGGCTCCCTTTCCATTGCAGAAATTTTGAAACTTAGCAGTGTATCCCACTAAGGGAAGGGGTTGTCATGAAAATCTCACGTACGATGAGAACCGAAGTGTGAACCATAAGCATAAACAGCATGAGTCATATTTGGAAGTGTCGCATATATGCGTCGTCTAAGCTCCAAGTGTTAGCATCAAGTGCGAGACTCACGACGAAGGTAGGGTTGATAAATACTCCTGTTGCCGTTCGTGAAGGGGAACTCTCCCATAATGGCATGAAGGAAAATCGAAGAAATAATTGTTGCGTGTGAAATTTTTTAAAAGGGACACGTTGAATATGGAATAGTATTACGAAGAAGAATTGAAAGAGTTCCGAATATTCCTCATTCTACTCCTATTCATAACCATAAGTCAGATTTCGAAAGGGGGTTATCAAAATCTTACAGCTATTCACGTGGTGAAAAAAGGCTTCTCAAAACAGTCAAAAATATATAATGCCAGCAAGAGCTTCTGAGGTACAATACGTCGCCCTTCATCATTTTTGTAGTTTCAACGACGCAAATGGCAGATTCCTCTTGACCTTCCGTCTATCCTTGATATGGTTGCCAAAACGTATTACATATTACCAGAATTATTTGGCGCACTTCTCCGATTAATTTGTGACGTTTTCAGGATTTTCGACTAAAAAATAAAGATATATTTTTCAACTAATTTTCACTGAAATGGGTGTCAGTCGATGAATTTTTAGTTTATTGAAAAGTTATATAAATTGGAATGATTCGAATTCTGCTGGTAACTCAGAGGTGTTTGAGTAAACTCTGCTTATTACAAGGGATAGGGAGGACGATACTCCATCTCTGGCCTAGTTTCTCCTCCACTTTCACACAATGAAAACACAAGATTTCTTATATAAACCACCAAAATATAATTTCATTTTGAACATGTAGATAAATTTTACAAAGAAAGAATTATATACGGTTTTAAAACCTCGTTATAGTCAGAAATAGGATAAAAATATCCATACAACGGATTAATCTATGACTGGACGAAATTATGTGACCTCAAAATACAACATATATCAATTATCCTTTATAATTACACTGAAAATTAAACAAAAATGACTAAACTTCAATATTTCAACCCGAATTAACTAAAATGAAATATAGAAAATTCATAAAGTAATCCTGGGAGTTGACTACAACTCCCTCAACTCGAAAAGACCCCAGACAAAGGCAGAACGAAGACGCCATAATGGACGCGTTTTCAAGAGAAGCCAAGACAGAGGACAATAATTCTCATTTTTAAACAATATTAATAATATTTCGGCTTGGCGCACCTGCCAAGATTATGAGAACGACGTCCTCCCAGGATGGACTACAGCCTTGACATAAATGACACCAATTCAAGAAAAAATAAACAAAATTAATACCATTCTGTGCGGACCATACTAATTTTGCGGCTACATCTCGCGTTAGCTAGGAGACGATTCTACCCAAGCGTGGGTTGAGTGGCTTGGGCTGGTTGTTTGCGGTGTCTCTTGGGGAGATTTTTCCCCGATGTATCTCGCACAATAGACTCGTCCAAACAGTAGACCCGGCTAAATTTTGTTGTTTTTAAGATATGTAGATTCACAAATAATTCAAGATTACAATATTTGACGAATATTGTTCATACTAATTTTCAACATGAAATTTTCAATTCTAAATAAATTTTATAGTGAAAATTCACTGTTTTTGGGTATCGCTCGTGTATCCCTCGCTGATTTCCTGCAGAATCGGTGCATCAGATGGACAGAAGCTGCCCCTCTGGTCGCTCATTGTGTCAGGGTACCCTGGACTGATGCCATTCCCATAGCAATGAATCCTTGCTTGAAGACACCTTTTGCTCCCAATTGAAATACATGGGTCTCGTAGAGGGACGCCATTGTCCAATACTTCCTTCTACAAGTCTGAAGGCGATGGTCTGGATGCTGCTTGGTCCCAAGAGATATTTCTCAGGACCTCCTCTTCTCGATTCAGGCCCTTAGCTTGGAGTTATGACCGTTGGAGATGGGAAAAGGGTATTAGAATTGAGCAGGAATTGGAATTTTTCCTTTCCTGATTCTCATAGATGGGAGAAGTATCCTAGACGTTATTTTTATTTAAATCTTGTCTTAGAAGAATGTCCTAGTCTTAATAAAAATTAGAATTTGATTTTTGTAAACGAAAATATTATTCAAGTCTGACGACCTGGTTGTCACAAATTCCTCGATCAGAAATTTTCAAAAAAAAAAAACCCTTCCACAATTTCATCAACATTTATTCAAAATACTACAAAATATTTTTTATATTAGACAATCAATTATTTTGCCACTGTAACCTCTTAATCACTGGCAGTAGCAATAGAGCCTCATATTGAAGTCATTCACGCAAGCACTTTGTGTCCCATAAGCATTGAGCCGGCTGATGGACCCCACGAGTTTATTAGTGCCATCTATTCCATGTCTGATCGAAGCTTCAAAAATTGCATTTCCCGGTAAAGTCTCAATGGTCATCGTAAAATCCGCCCAAGGAGAATTTGCGTCCTCCGCCTGCTTCCATATTTTAGCATTCATCACTTTTTTCATTTTGAGCTCAGCACACTGAGGATATTTCTTGAGCATTGAGTTTAATTCCTCAATGAGGAAAACAGTACTATTTCTCACTAACTCGTGATGAAACTCAATATCACTGGAAGCATGACACATACACCAGTGTCCGGGAATCCCTGCTAGATCACATGTTCTGTGCCCAGGAATGGGCAAAAACCAGCTGATGCCTCTAGGCAGAAACTTTTTATCCTCGAATGCGTTCATCATTCTCGTCCTTTCTCTTATCTGCTCCTCCTCAATCATTTCGAGTTTCAAAAGATCTCCAAGGGTTTCATAAAGATCAAACGGAGTTGTTAAACTTCCAGTGTTCCTTCGCAGATTTGCAAAAGCAATGGGATATCTCTCCCTCCACCATTTCGGCAATACTAAGAACACAAATGGTAGGCTCCCCTCCATTCTCCCTTGATACGTCTGCCGAAACTCTCCCCATCTTATTCCATGATCACTCATAACGATCAGTGCAGTATTTTCCATCAGTCTTTCTTCATAAAATTGATTAATGACCCTAGAATATGCAACATCCCCCAGCTGAGGATAGTTAAAAAAATCATGAGTTAGACTTGCCTGCCAGAAGAATGCGAAGTATGCATCTTTCGAAAAGGTTCTCGCCACTTTGGTTGAGTGACTTAGAAGGTTCTCGAAATTCTTGCGAGCACCAATGCATAAATGGGCATTTAATTCCCGGGTGTTGCCGATATCGTTTTCTGCGGCGACGCAGTAGGGGCGGAGGTAGTAGTCCGTTGGTGGTTTATGGAAGCCAGGTTTCAGATAGTTGAAGGTTGTCATTGAGCAGGCGTCTTCCGCAAAAATCGTGCGATAGCCGGAAGTGCTAAAATTCTTCCAGATGAAGGGGCAGTCATCGAAAGGTTTACTGGTGTCATTCCAACAAGTAGTCTGAAGCTCGGTTGTTGAGAGTCCGGTTAAAACGGGAACTAGGTTTGGGTAAGTATTGTCACCCACTTTATTGTAGCCAAGCATCTCAATAGCGGAGAGCGCTTCGAGGGTCTTCACGGTTTTCGGCATCATTCTGTGGAAGTTTAGGCGAGAGATCGAGTCAAGGCCGAGGACGAGGATGCTTAGTTTATTTGTTGTGACAGGCTTGGTGGGGAGAAAGTACTTTTTGTGCTTTTGTTTTGAGGATATTTTGCAGCGGACTTCCACTTCGGGTTTGTGGAGTACGAAGAAGTGGTAGTCTCGATAGATTCCGGTACCATCACGCCAACATTCCACTCGGATGAACTCAGCAGAAATGCGGGTGGATGTTTGGAAGTGGTGACAGCTCTTTTCCATTCTGGAATTGATAATTATTTATTAATTACGAATATATTTTGGGAAAGAGGAGGGGGGGGGTAGACTGACGATAATGTTTGAGTGGAAGGTAAATTATTTATAATTTCCTAAACATGATTAAAATAGATTCAAGAAAACGTATTGCAGTAAATCATTTTGAAAAGCCATATGTTTATATTTCAATACAGAAAAAAATATTGTGCTGAATTAAAAATAGACAATATCCTGTACAGAAGTAAAAAAATATGTTGGTGTACAGGCGGGAGGAACTAGTCAAGTTGATAATAGAAAAAATGATCAGATTGTAGCGCCTCGCTGCATGCCCGGATAGTGGTCGGACGGAGGTCACTGACCTCACACATATATGAACTTGACGTCATCACGGCCCCGGTATCCAAACATCCGACTACTCGTCAGCAGCCAGTCTATCAGCTATCGCCTTTACGAATATATTGAATTAATAATTATAAACCCTTCGCATTATGCTTCGGCGAATAAAGTTAGCTTAATGTTAATTCGCCTGGGTCGAATTTTATTAACGTCCCGACGAAAACATACCACGAATTCTACATTGGTGACCCTGACGTGATCTTTATCAACGTTTGAATGGGAATTTCGCGAATGCAACAAGTTCAATACAGATGCGCTTGTCTTTAAATGGAGAAGTACTCAGCTCAACCCCCTGCGATTTCCACCCAATTTTGTTTCGGAGAATTTACCAGTGCTCTGATTACCCGCACCGTACTACCTAATTAGTCTTATAAACAACAGTCCAATATTGTTTCCTGTAAAAAAAAACTCTATCATTTCCACTTTCCGGCAAACAATTGCGTTCCGGGCACGGTGAAAACTCCACGAGGTAGCTCACGCGTCATCGTTGTGCGCATACTCTCGACACTCTTTCAGTCATCCGTGAGCATGTTTCCGCCCTCTACGAGCCACGTGATAGTGAGTTTTACAGTAGTGCTGAATCTCTCACACTCACTGACACATTGCAGAGTACCCACATGAATGCAGTACAGTGTTAATATAAACGCAAAGACCGTTAACGACTTTGCCAGAATGTGAGCATTATTCGAGTGAAGAATTCACGAATTTCTTGTAATTCTCAAAATTCTTATATTTTAGTTTTGAATAATTGTTATTAATAACTCTGAGACAATGCCAGGTGATTCAACTGGAGGTGTCAACGGAGGTGAGTACACAAAATGTGCCACATCCGTATTTCAGAAAAAATAAATTCAGTGAGGAGTATTCACAAATATTGTTCACACAGCTGGAGAGCCAGTTCGCTCTGAAAATGGTAATATCAGAAGATGAGAAGTATAACTATACTGTCGGAGTATTAGACACCGATATCGCTGGGAAAGTTCCAGGCTCAATTCATTGCTCAATTCTCGAAATGAAAGGAAGCTAAAATTTGTCCGCTAGTTGACGGTGAATCACTAGGTAATCGTACTCCATCTCACCATTACAATCGTCTTAACTCTTTCGTTCCAGGTAGCGACAATAACATCATGAGGAATCGTAGGATGCCTCATCTGTGACAGGGAGTCCAACAGAGCCTAGTCACACTCGATCTGCCGCTGAAACGACTTGCTGAATAGGCTGGCGAGATGTTCAATATGCTAGGTGGCAACAATAATAATGGCAGCCAATACAAAGGTCGAGCTCTTGACGAGGCAAATTGCAGCCTCGCAAGGTAGCTTCAACAGCACAGGTCGAGATCTCGCTCATATACTCCATTCAGGAGGGCCCGACCAAGCAGTCGATCGAGGAGCAGAGTCTTTAGGGCCTGACTTACCAGCTACCATCACACTCGATTGTGTGGGTGTGTGTGTGTTCTTTTTTATTAAAGTCTGTCGGAGAATGTATTTATGGATCCCCATTTGAAGAAGGGAACGGGTGGTTTCCTCCTTCAACTGCGGTATGTCGGATTCGGATCTACGATCAATATCGACTAAACTCCTGTCAGACTTAATTCCACTAACCATTTATACTCTCGCGGGACTACCGTTAAGTATTCCTTCACGAGGGAGGTCTCAGCTATTTGCTTTTCCACGTTGTTTTCATCTAATGTACGTCCCCCTGTCCTGCTGAGGTGTTGGGTGCGGGAAGGAGGTTCCAGAAGATCTCTCAACTACGTTGCAGCCCTGCGCTTGCGTTCTTCACTTCTGAGCTCCTTAATAACTTCTGCTGCAAAGTTGCTGTTTGCGTCCCAGGCTATCTGTGATGACAGCATAATTTCTACTAAGTTCTCAGGCAAGACTTCCGTTTCAAGCATTGATTCCCAAGTATGCCGGATGTTACTGAAACGGGGGCACCTGAAAAACACATGCTCCAAATTCTCGTCCACTCCTGTGCAGACTGGGCACTCCGAGGAATCCTGATGTTTAAATTTATGAAGATACGCCCGGAAGCACCCATGTCCCGAAAACATTTGCATTAGATAGTAGTTAACCTCACCATGCGTGCGGTTTAACCAAACACCTGCCGGTGGGATTAGTCGATAAGTCCATCTCCCTTTGGTAGAGGTGTCCCACTCTAGCTGCCATCGTTGTAGACTATTACGCCTTTCTTCTGTACTGAGTTCTGTTGAGCTCAGTGCTCCAGATTTTCTCCGCTGATACAGAGACCTTCGCTCTTCGACCAATACCTCAATAGGTAGCATTTCGGCAATGACGCACACTGCGTCCTCGGACAATGTGCAGTATGCGCTCGCAACTCGCAGAGCACTCAGTCGATAAACTGGTGCAGCCTTTCGACGTGATTCTCGTAGCTGCAGTACCTCAGCCCAGATGGAGATGTAATAGGTAAGCACTGATGTGACAACCGATGACAGCAGCGCTCGTCTTCTTTGTTTAGGAGCTCCGATGTTAGGCATGAGGCGCGATAATGTGGATCTGACTCCAGACGCCTTGGCACCAACGTGCTCGGTTTGCTGCTTTAAATTGAGTCGAGCATCGATCATCACCCGCCAGGTATCGGATGAACGGCTGAAAAGTAATTTCGCAGGACTTGACCTGTAGCGATATTGTCTTTATTTTCTTTCAACTAGTAATCAGCACAGAATCCGTCTTGTGTTCTACCAGTTTTAGGCCCACTGTGTCCATCCAATCGCGGATCATCTTGAAGATCATGTCGAAGATGTAGTTGATCTTGTCTAGATATTTGCCCATGATGACTATAGCTACGTGTTCTGCAAATGCCACGAGTTTAGTTTCCCACTGTAATTTCAGTTTCAGTAGCCCATCATACATAATGTTCCAAAACAAGGGACCCAATACTGAGCCTTGAGGTACGCCTCCGGTGACTCTCTACTCCTCAGGACCACCCTCTATATCGTACTTAAGGACTCTTCCAGTGAAATAGTTGACCATTCTCCGTAAATATCCCGGTACGTTGAACTCCTTAAGAGCATCCATAATACGGTCCCACCTGGCCGAATTGAAAGCATTTTTGATGTCTAGTGTCGCTACTAAACACTACTTCTTCATGTCATTGAGCCATCTTTTCCCTGCGATCGCATCTCTGGCGATGTCCACGACAAGATTGATAGCGTCCAGAGTGAATCGGCCTTTCCGGAACCCATATTGGTTGTCGGCCAACAGGGGTTCGACTGCTATTTCTATTCTTTTATGGACAATACGTTTAAGAATCTTGCCAACGGTATCAAGCATGCAGAGGCGACGGTATAATGAGGACTCGTCTGGTGGTTTTTCCCTTCGGGAGTAGTACTAGTCTCTGCTGCTTCCACATGGCAGGAAAGGTCCCCCCTTTAGACACTCGATGTATACGTCCAAGAAAAGCTCCGGCATCGCGTGGATAGCTGACTTCAACGCGATATTGGGGATTCCATTTAGACCGGGGTCCTTGGTGTTACCCACTTTATTGCAAGCTTCCATCAACTCTTCCTTGATGTTTGCTGAAACCAGCATTGTTCCTCTTGTTCGCCTGTGCGAAGAAGCTCCGGTTATTGGGGGAATAACACTTTGACGATTTTTTCAAGTAGCACAGGGCACTTTGGCGAAGGTATTGGTTGACTTTTGAGTCTCGACATCACCACCTTGTATGGTTTACCCCACGGATCGCCTTCTACCTCAGCAAGAAGCTCACTCCAAGATTGCCTTTCACTGCACTTGATAGCTTTGCTGAGCTTTCGGCGTGCTTTTTTATATCTCATACCCAACTCCTCACAGTTTGACTTCTTACGGCCACGGTGGGACAATCTTCTGGCTGCGTTACACACTTTCCCTAAGATGGCAATCATGTAATTCTACCAATACATCGGTGGATGCAGGTTTGTGGTACGCTTTCTGGTCATGGTGGCACCGCAGGCTTCCGTCAGTTTCTTCATGATATTATCCGCCTTTTCAGTAGCATTGCTGCAACTGATCGGGCGGTCGTCCAGTGCAATCGAATAGGAGTCAGGATCGAAATTGCTCACTTTCCAGCCAATCCAGTTGGTCTTCTTAGGCGTCATGGTGAGTCTGTGGCAATTACGTGCCTCCCAGAGTATCGCACGGTGATCGCTTGCTGTGTAGATATCAGTTATTCTCCATGAACAGTTTTGTTTTGCAAGGGTGCTGCCCACGAAGGTAATGTCCACAATTGAGCTTGCCGCTCCCCTCATGAAAGTCGGTTCATCGCCGCTGTTCAGCAGGACCACATCCAACAATGACATAGCTTCCAGTACAGCTTGCTCTCTGATGTTCATTTCCTTATTTCCCCCACTCGACTGCCCAGGCGTTGAAGTCCCTGGCTATTGTCACGGGAAAGTGCTGCTTTGCATCCTCAGTCAGCCTGCATAGGAAGTCCGTGAATTCGTCAATTGGAAGGCTCGGTGGGGCGTAGCAGCTGTAGAAATAAATCCCATCAACCTTAGCCTTTATCATCCTGTATGCCATTATTGGTGGTACCCTGGAATGGACGATTCGCACAAGCCCAGATGGAAGTTTTCTTGCTGGCGTCAGTAATCCAGGATTGGGTGCCAAGATGTCG